AGGTTGCTTTATGAAGACATTTTCTTGAATACCGATATTCTGTAATCATGCGTACTCAGGCGAAACAGGCTCACATATTCTCACCGTCCCCACATGCGACGTTGGTGCTTGGCGGCATTGAAAAATAATTGTTTCGTCTTTAAATACGGAGAACAATTACACTGTAAGATATCTATTGAGATAAGCATGATTGATTAGTGGGTTGCGTGCACAATGCCAAAGATGCTTATATTGGCGAGAAACGCTTTCAATTCGATGATGCTCTAAAGCAATCTTCGCAAGAGTGGTAAAAAGGACCGTTTCGAGGCCTTAAAAATTTGAATGAACCAAAATGGATATTGTCATGGTAACTAACACAAATCAGCAAACCACCTTACAAGGTTTGATCGTTTCTGTGTTAGTAAATCTTTGTGTTTGGCTCGCAAGCAGGGAAGGCAATGCTGCCACTTTCCCATGTTCCCGTTGACTTCAACACGACCGCACGCCGGTACGATGCTCATCCAGATCGAAATGGGCAGGGGTAGGGATTGAACCCAGGGTCCCTGGGTTGACGAAAATAATCCCTGGAGAAGGGGAACAAGAGGGACAAAGGACAAACACAAATTGCATTATAATCATTACCTTAAATTGCAAGCTTCACCCTTGTTGGTGTTAGACTGGTGGCGGCTGATAAAACCCGTTTGCTCTACTGACGTCTAACTCCTGGTTAGCTCAATTGGTAGAGCGCTCCACCTGCAATGGTGAGGTCCCGGGTTCGATACCCGGACCAGGCGGATTTTTTCGGTCGCGCACCAGTCACCTAGCTGTGTTTGGAGATTTATGTTTGTCCCTTGTCCCTCTTGTTCCCCTTCTCCAGGGATTATTTTCGTCATTCTTGTCCAGCTCGCTTGCACCTTTGCATTTAATTGCATTATAATCAATCCCTGGGTTCGTCAGTGCGAACTTTCGCTCCACGTGCTCTGAGCTGCGGTGCGTTAACACACCCGCCACCGATTCTTTTTTATTTTTGTTATTTTTTTTAAATTCTTCAGCATGAGTGCTTTGGTACATGCGCTTACCTTGGACTGGTTGCAGCACACGTATTCAAAGTTCGCAACGTCGCCACGGGATGGCACCACGCTCCTAGCAACAGAAGATCACCGGCGACACTCAGTGGGGGACGGCGCGTCTATCACTGGCGCGCGTGTCAAACCCCCCCCCCCCCCCCCCCCCCGCTCCCACCCCCTTCCCCCGTTCACGGCACTTTGCGACGACAGTCTGGGGATGGCTAATTAGAAAATATTAACCCACCTTGGTTCACTCGTGCACTCGGGCTCTCGGTGCGCCGCCGGCGGAAGTACGCCCTAGCCGAACTGTCCCCCAATTGCACCTCGGTTACTAAGTGCTACGTCACGCGGCCGGCATGCGGGTGCGCGCTTTGGACGGCCTGGAAGCTTCTGTAATTGGTTTTGGAGAACTGGGGACACACACCGGCTGCGGTTCTGTTCTTCGGCCTACCACGCCGTTCTTGACGCGCAGTTGTCTTGCCGTGTGACCGGTCCGTAAGCGCACGGTTTTGTCGCTCCTGCATACGCAACGTGTATGCGCAACAACGATATTGTATCGTCGTTTTTCCTGCATCACCCGTACGTCCTTCACGCACACACTAAGGTACTTGATCTGCCTGCACCAGGAAGAAGAGGGGTTTCGGGAATGTTCCCCCCGCCCAAAAGTGCCGAGAGGCTGCCTTCTCTATGCTTTGTTACATACAACCATGTAGCTCCCACCGCAGTCTCAGCCTGCAGCTGAACGGAGTTAAATTACACCAGTCAAAGAGGCTACAGGTGTCGCACGTTCGCTCTTGTATTTTCCGTGTTAAGTCAGCATTGAAGCACATAAAATTAATAGCTCTTTTCACACTAGCTGCGGGGAATGCTGACGCGTTTGGCGCAGCTAGGCGGCAGCAGCGATTACAACCCATTTTCGTCTTTATTGTTCGGCTACCAAACCCTATTGATGGGTTTGTGTTTGTCCCGCAAGTAGTGTCGAATGTTGCGCCGATGCACAAGGCCCATGAATCGTCCAGCCCTTGCAATCAAATGGCAGTGCATCCCTGAAATGAGCGCCCTTTGGAAGCGAATGGAGGCGAAGCACTCCCTCGTGATACGTGTTTCCCACGCTCTAGCGGCAATGGTTGTCGGTACTTAGAAGAAGGACGAAAGGTGAATGGTACTGTAGCCCTAGCAGAACGAACAGCAGACCTTGCGCGTTAGTTCAACGTGTTCACGCCTTTCCCCGTTCCTTTCTCCCCACTCTTGCCCTCGTCGGCGTGGCTCCCCCTTGGATTCCGACTGCGAAGCGTCTCCGAGATGGATGAAGCAGCCCAGCGATCAATCGTCGACCCGCGGACAGCGCACCGTGTTCGACTGCGAGGCGGACGGGAATCCCCTGCCCGTGCACCGCTGGAAGGTGGCTTACGGTGAGAGCGGCGATTCCGCGCGCATCTGCCAGACGGCGAAGCCTGCGCCAGTTGAATTGGTTTGTTTAGTTTGTTTGCTGTCGTCTTAAATGCCCGCCGAAACAACCAACATTATCTGCAGGGATTTGGCAGAGACTTCTCCAGACACTTGTCCTTGTTTCTCTATATTGTGGCTTTCGGAAGAGTGTTCATCTTCATTCGTGCGCGGGCATGCCGAATCGTCTCCGCGTGTTTCTTTGTTTCGAGTCAAGTGCGCGAGTATCTGATAACGTTTTTTTGGTCTTGTTTGTAAGGCGACAGCGGTTATAGGCGAGGATTTATAGCGGATCCTTGGTCTATTTTAAGGAGCGTAGGCTGTTGCCCCATAAACCTAGCGGACAATAACAGTGTAGTAACACGGCGGCGCCACAGCGCGTCGCAATGTTCCCTCTCAATTTAGCCGGAATGTAGTGTCACGTGACACCACGTTGCCACGTGACATCGCACTGTCGCGGAATTCTGCGGTGTCGTGTAACGTCAAACTGCCACATGAATACCGTCCGCTAAAGTTAGGCATGGCAGTGTAACTGTGTGCAGCTGTGTGTAGTGTCTTGTCTGTCGTCGCACTTTGTTTGCTGGACACTGCGAGGAACCAAGAAATGATCGCTCCCGCTCGCCTCGCGTGTATGGGGTCAATATATCTGCTTTTGAGACACACACAACGCAGGAGAGAGCACTAAGATCTATGTGGTGTGGGTGTAGTTAATGTGCATCGGCATGTACACGTATATGGGGAGAATTCTGTGCCTTGTTTATTTTACATAGTTTGTCATGTCCAGGGACCTGCGTATATTGTAGAGCGCTCTTGCGGTGCTTGTGCGTGACAGTCACTAAGTGATAGCATAACAGACCAGGGAGAAATAAAACTCTCGCGCTTTCTCACATACAATCTGTATACAGCTTAAGAAAAACAAAAAACATACTTTTTTTTTTGTTTGTTTGCGTGGGAACGCTTTGAAAAGCAACCGCTGTTGCGTAAATAAAATTTCGATTGCAGGTCGAGAGATCCCCCGATGGCCTAAATTCCTCTTAGGCGCGTCGATGCTGCGTTGTAGCTGTCATTTTTAGAGCGTAGCTCTTAGGCGCCTTTTTCCGCGTGTAACGGCGTCGGCTCAGCATTATGCGACGTCGCAGATCTATACACAAACCCAATTCCCCACAAAATTTATCGAAGAAACTGAATTGGTGTGTAGGTCTGTGACATCCAATAATGTCACACTTAGCATTCAGTTTCCACGCTAAATTTAGCGGTAAAACTGACGTCAGGACTCACATAGCCTCAATACCGATTCAGTTCCGACGCTAAATTCAGCGGGATATTGAACTGGTGTTGAGGTCAGGTGGCGTCAATGCTTCAGCTAAATTTAGGGGGAAGTTTGTAAGAAGTGGAGGGTATGGAGGAGAGGAGGAGGAGAGGCTTACCCTCCCCTTTTCTTCCTCAATAACTGAGCTCTAATTTCGCGTTAGAGATTTGTCATTTTTGCCCTAACGGCTAAGAATCCGAAATTTACTTCTACGATAGGGAAGCAAAGCCGGATTTCCGATCATTTTATGAAAAGTGCTGATCACCTAATTGAGTTAAACCTTTAATCCGGATTCTTTTTTAAAGGTATGATTACATTTATTTGCGCGCCAGCGAACCCACCACATTTTACTTTCAATTTTTTTTTTTTCACATTGTGTATTATGTAATTTAATCGAAATTATTTGATTTCTTATAAACTCTGGTGTCGGTTGGAGGTAACAGATTTATGAAAATAAATTCATAACAAAAAAAAAACAAGAAAAACAAAGACCTAATAAAAAATTTTTAGCTTTAGGGTATTGTACTGTGTTAGTTTGCTCCTCAAAACATTTCGTCTCCTCTTCCTTTCACTTTTTTAATTATTCGAATTCGAACGTTTTCACTATTAAAAGATCAGAACTATTGTTTTCTGTCACTTTCTGTCACACACATGCTCGAGATAAAATAAACACGTAATCAAGCATTTTTTATATAGTTTATTAAGTGATTAATAATATATTTAAAGACTTCAAAAGACAAATTCATAGCTACGTAACAAGACAATATAATCATTATATAAATACCAAGGGAGATAAATAAAGACACAATACTCAAGTACATAAAAAGTTTCCAAATTATAAGTAAATATACTATTGCTGACAACGGTGAGCTGAAACAGTCCTTCAGACTCTTTTTTTACGTACCCTCCAGTTTTCGAGGGTGCTGTTGTCCGACTAGTAGTGGAAGTAACGCCAAGTTGAGGTCCTATTCTTGGGACTATTTCACAAGTTGAGAGTAGATGGGGTCTGTAGGGCCGGAAACAAAAAAAAAAGGAGGAGAGTGTGTTCCAACTTATTTTGTTCGCGGAGGAAGGCAACCAAAACACGTACCTAAAGATAATAAAACTAAATTCGAGAATATACTATAGCTAAATGCATTACTAATTCAATATATTATGAGGTGGACATTAGCTAATAGACGGCGGTTTTACACGCTCAGGTAAAAAGAACGAGAAGCTGTCCGAGTTTCGCAGCGTCGTGAGCAGTCCCCACATGCACGTGCTGGAGAACGGATCCCTGGTGATCGTCGAAGTGACGCCCAAGGACCAGGGTCACTACCTCTGCGAGGCCAGCAACGGTGTGGGTCCGGCGCTTTCTGTGGCCGCCTACCTGCAAGTGAACGGTGAGTCCTTTTTGCGACCACTGCTGGGACAGAGCAGTGCACCCTCGCGCAGACCTAGCGCAGCTCGAAACAATTTAGTGTCACAATCTTTCATTCATCTAGCTCTTATTTTAGAAGGTAGAACGTGCAAATACATATTAGGTACGGAGCTCTCAAGCACTGTGTGGGCGTCACAAAGCGTGTGTATGAGCCGAGAAACTATATTAAAAAAAACCTTTCACAGGGCTATTATTAAGTGGTGAATGTATTACACTTCAATATTGTAAATGTAGGTTCCAGGAAAAAAAATATTAAAGAAACGAGAAACGCGTTATTTTTATGCGAGGGGCAAAACAGAAACGAACCATCTGATGATAATGCAGTTAATGCAAAAGTGCGAGCGTGCTTTTGCATTAACGAAAATAATCCCTAGAGAAGGGCAAAAGGGGGACAAAAAACAAACACGAATCTCCAATCACAGCTAGATAACTGCTGCGCGACCGAAAAAAACCCCTTGGTCCTGAGTCGAACCAGGGCTGGGATTGGAGATTGCGTTTGTCATTTGTCCCCCTCTTTCTCTTCTCTAGGGATTATTTTTTTATAAACCATCTGTTTGACACTGGAATACCCACAGAGGGTACCGCAGGCGATCGGATGTACAGGATGTTCTTTCAGGCGCAAAAGCAAGTTTTCAAGTTTTTGTTCTTTGTTGTTCTATCTGTCAACTGCAGCGTAAACCAGAGCAGACGTAAGGACAGAACGAGCGGGTTGGTAGGGATAATTAATCTTGAGGAAGAAAACGAGGAGACACGGAAAAACACGAACTTCCAACTGGCAACAACATTTAATGGCACCAAGAGTTTGCTTATATACAGAAAAAGGGGGAAGGGGTGGAAAAGAGCAGACGGTTTGTGCCAGCTGGCTTCCCCGAGCATGGGAATGGAATGACTCGAATTTCTTTTCTAGAATTCCACACTAATGCAATTTACGTATGACAAACGCACCCGCCCCAAGACACATTTCTAATACCTTTTTGTTGCACTTCTTTAATGCTTATTTTTACTACATATATATGCCTGAATAGCAAAGGGAAACATCCTTTAGTCAGATTGCAATCTGAAGATGTCTGTAGAAGTTATTACCAAGATGTACGCACAAAACTGAAAGACCGCGAGTTAATTTTGAACAGAATACCCAAGTAAAAGCTTTACACAACTTAAGTGTCGACTCCTTTTTTTTTAATGATATATAAGTGGCCTATTTATGAATGTCCTCGACGTCTTTAGATTCAAAATATTACTTGAAAGGTAAAACCCATTGTCCGCAGTCGACATCTGGTGGCTGCGTGGTGAACTTCAAAAATCGATCGCCGAACCCAACTACACTTTTAAGTTTGGTCGATAGAGGGCGCCAGCCTATCGAGAGACTGTAGGAAATTTATTTTCAAGGGACGGATATAAAAAGTTACACAAAAACACAGGAAAGATGGTGAACCTTTGAAGCTAAAAAAAAAAAAATAAAGCCGGGAAATCTCCTGACGAAGTCGAGTCTCTCGGCGAAACTGTCGATTACACTTCCGCTGTTTGTTGTTTCTCACCGTGAGTTTTTCACTTCTTTATACATACGCCTTCGGCCCCTTGGCTACTATGCCACATGCCCACTATATATATATATATATATATGTGTGTGTGTGTGTGCGTGTGTATGTGTGTGTGCCTGTGTGTGTGTGAGAGAGAGAGAGAGATTCATGAACTGAACAAACACAAGAGGCCTCCTATCGAAACGCCAATGAAACTTTCCTTGTTTTTGTTGAGTCCATGGATCTTTCTTCTGTATTTGAATAATCACCGGCCCACAAGCTTCAGTAGTCATGTTTACATGTATATATATACCGAACTGGCATCATAAGCAGTATCACCGAGGCTAAATTTCTATGTTGTTGTTTTTCTTTTTTTTTTGGTTTAGATTACTCAAACTTAGTCAACATATTCATACATAAGGCCCAATGCAATCCGCTTGCTTAATTTTCTTTATACGTAGCGTTGTTCGATCGAACGCTTCAGAAGAATGGATATTTGGGCAAGTTGGCGGAAATTCATCGTAGGAAACAGCGCGAAAAACAGACGAAGATGAAGAACAAACGCACGGGACGAGCGCTGATCATGAACTAAAATATTTTAATAGGAAAACACATGAAAACGACCATTCATCGTCCTACGATGAACTTTTTAGTAGCACATCTTATCGGAAGTATATATATTTTTTTAAGAAACCGATGCCAAGCACATGGCCAAACTCCCACGTATTGATCTCGTATATCTGGTTTACCCTTGAAGCCTACTAGACACCTTGGTTTAGTAAACGCTATGTTTTCTCATAATGGACGAGTCAACTAAAATGCTCTGGAGTGTTTCTCAGGTCTACAATTTCCGCTGCTAACTGACCATCCTTGTTGACGCATCGGTGGCTAGGGAACCTCGATCGGATATGTTGCATTCAAACCACAGTTGAACGCGTTACCAGTTTTATGTTTGAAAAGTTTCTTTTTATGTTTGTTGCTGTTAAGCATCTACATTACATTAAACACATATCTTCATAGTAACCGTCAAAGTTTTGCAAGTGACTTTCTTAAGCTGAACAAGCTACTCCATGCAAAAGCCCCAGTGGTCACTGCAAAATTTTGATCAAATTGATCTATTGCTTTTTTAATTTTTTTCTTCTAAAGTAATTGGCACTTAGAAAACGCAGAAACGACTTTTGGTTTTTCTATCTCCAACACGAACTACGTGGCTTCGATTATGTGTAGATTGCGTAGTTTACCGAAACTCAAGCGGCGGCAGACCATTTAAGTCAAAATGGCCACGCAAAAATCAGTCTTTCATAACTAAATACATCGAAAATTCAATTAAGCCGTCAGTGGCTGTGGTGATGAGCCCATTTTATTGTCTAGCGCATTTTAAGAATAATGTGTGTTTTTCAAAGTGCAGTTCCCCCGTACTTCCACGAGGAGTTCGAGACGAAGACGGTTAGGTCTAAGGAAGATGTTACCATTTCCTGCGAGGTGTTTGGAGAGACGCCGCTCACTGTTGCTTGGTCCAAAGACAGGAGGCCGTTCGGCGACTTGGCGCTTCCAAGGTATGAGCCAGATAGCATTTTTGTTTTCTATTTAATGTTTACTTCCCATTTAAACTTTGTTTAGGTTTGCAAGTAAAAAAACAGTCAAAACGACCGTCATGGACTTGCATCTTCATCCCTGAAAATGAACAAAAGTTTAGCTTAAACGAACCAAGTCAATAACTAAATATAAAAAACGTAGTAAGTAAGCTTCGATAATATACGAATTGCCTACTTAAGGTCATTGACACGGACAATAAACGCAATCAAATGGCACTCCTCAAATGTAAACAGTTATGGAGCTCGCGGTGTACCTGTAATTTACCTTCTCTTGGTTTTTGTATTTTTATAGGTGTTAATTTTGTTGTTTTGCTAAGATGTCCTGTGATATGCCTGAACATGTTCGATAACCTAGGGCAACTAAAAACTAAGTCGAAGTATATTAGGTTTTTTGACAGCTTTAAAAACGTTGAGCGGGACTAGGTCCGAGCAATTCATTATCGCTCGGATACCAACGAGAGTGCGTCATTGGTCAGTACGAATGCAGAACAACGAATCGCAAAGCGAAAAGCGTGCACACAGTAAACCCCGCCCCGCATTTATTAAGCTGTCAGTGACCACAGAAGTGTTAATGGTATTTAAACCTTTGCAGAAATAGAAGTGCCTTTTTGTGTATTTTTTGACCAGGTGTTGAAAATACTTGTTTGCTTGTTATTTTTTTATTTTGCCTACTGATTCGAGGTACATATTTTCTGTTTCTCGCAGGTTTGTTCTTCAGGAGGATACAACCGCCGAGGGAATTGTTTCTAAAGTCTTCATTCCTTCCGTCGGACGGGAAGATTCTGGTGTGTTCGTGTGCGAAGCAACAAACTCGTTTGGGAAGAAGGACCGCACGATACAACTCATTGTTCAAGGTAAGAGTTTTCTATCTTTACTTACCAACGATCAGCCATCGTCCGATGTATAATTTAAATCTGAAATACATATTATTCTCACAGATATTTTAGTGTCTATCTTTGGCGCCTTGTTTGTTACATATAAAGTTTTGAAAATGCAAGTCTGTTTTAATGTACTGCTCAAACTAAAACCGCAGATTAAAAAGACAATGTCGAATGATCAGTGTTTTAACAATCTTTTAAGTTACAGGATATAAGACACAATGACCTGTGAGAGGCAACCACATAGTGTGCTGCGGCGAACATGCCGAGTGTCTTCTGCATTGCGTAGGCAACGTACGCAAGATTGAGATCTTGAACGAACTCATTCCGTAACTTCTATGGTATGACCATGACAATTAGGGCTACCTTGCAAGTATGAAATATTAGCATTTAAGCTTTTTTTTTCTCTAAACAATAACGAAATACATTCTGCGATATTGATGCAAAGGTTGGCTGCGCTACTATTGCCCTTGATATTGAGATATATATTATGATTCAAAGACTTGCTTATAATACTAAATTATTTGAAGCTTATAATGTCTTTGTGCTAGAGGCCAACGCAGGACATCATTGTTTAACATTTTCCTAGCGCAAACTAATTTAATCACTGAGGTTTTAATTTATCTTCTTTGATATATATATATATATTTTTTAAATTTATATTGTTTTTATTTTACTTAAAACTAAAAGTATGCATTTCTGCAAACACAAGCAGCAGAATGAGGCGCTTTCCTGTTTTATAAATTTTATAGCCTTTTACACTTTTTGTGCAACAAAACTTTCCCGTATCTTAAAATTAAATACACTCTAAAAAAAGTCTGTGCGTCTACTTCCACGCACTACACTCGGAAAGCCAATCAGCGCAACTTGCGGAGGCAGCTCAGCGAATGGCAATGCCGAAGCATATGTTTAGACCAAAAAGCGCATTCTGAGTTGTGACATTGAGCAATGCAAAACGTCACGCTTGCATTGCTTAATGTCACAACTCAGACTGCGTTTTTTGGTCTAAACATATGTTTCCGCATTGTCATTCGCTGAGCTGCCTCCGTAAGTTGCGCTGATTTGGATTGGCTCTCCGAGTGTTGTGCATGAAAGTAGATGCAGAGACATTTTTTAGAGTGTACATCTGGTAAGCGTTCGGACTCTCAACAGTCGGGCATGACAGTGAATTTTAGTTCTTTTTTACAGGTCCTCCAGATATTCCTCGCGACATTCACGTGGATCAGGTAACCAGCCGGTCGGCAACCCTCTTCTGGACCCAGCCACACACGGGAAACAGCCCGCTGCTCGGTTACACTGTCCTCTATGTACCCGAGGCTGGTAAGTGGTGGCAGGGCATGGGATCTTTCTGCAAAAGCGGTATTGCTGTCGTTCTTTGTTTTTTATTTACTTTAAAAAATCTAGCAGGCCTAAATAATGATTCTCCAACTTGACAGGCATATATGTTGAATACAAATTGAATATAAAGTTACAAGAAAAAATTATAAATTATTATGAAACGCCGGTTTTATGACAATGTACATATCACTCGTTAATGACCGTACAAAAGCACTCAAATAGAGTTTAACGTAAAAGCAAAGACGTAAAGTGATCTCCCTTTCTTCTGCACAAACTCCATACCACCACAGAACAACTTCAAGGTATAATTAACTATAATCTAAACAACGCTGCGCAACTACCTTATCAGCAGAAGCCGATATATTGTAATTATGAATATAGATGGAAACGTCTAAATGCGCCTGTGCAATGTGTCTCTGGAACTGACATTACGATATTATCGTGCGATATTTTCTTACATCACATATAAAGTCGGCGTAAGGAGCAGATAAATTTTGTTTAATCTTTGATATTGATTAAACAATACTTATCTGCTCGTTACACCAACTTCACGAAGCATGTATTTCCCTACTATTTAAAACACCGGACATATTAAGCACAAGGCTCAATATAGTCTTCTTTTTTTGCATTAAACTGCAAACATACCGAAACATTTGAACGCTAAAAGAGAGGTCTCCACGCGGGATGAATTCATTTCCAGTCGGGCATTTGTGCACCTTCACTAGGCGTCTAAAACCTGCGAGGCACAGTTTTAGTGAGAATCACTGACAAAATAAGACCGGCAGAACTTCAGTTGCCCCGTCCCTACTGCGAGCTTTCTACCTCGAATAACGGTTCAGTGTCTCGTGATCCTTGAGGATGCTTCGTTTCCTTTGATCACGGCCACAGCGTGATCAAAGGCAACGAGCGCTTGCTAGATCAACAACACGTTTGGAAATATAGTTAGATTTTTCGAAAGAAGCATGGGGAGCCTTAAATTTGATCTTGCGCTTTTTGTTCAAGACAAGGTGACGTCGGCCCCCTCGAGCCTGAGGACCGGAACGTCGGAGAACAGAGCCACGGTGCCAGGACTGGTTCCAGGCACCGCCTACATCCTTCGAGTCGTTGCCGAGAACGCGGTTGGCAAGTCAGGCCCCAGCGACGAGATCAGGGTTGTCACGGAGGAGGAAGGTAACCTGCTACTTTTTGCTTGCACCGTTCAATGCAATTCTCGACTGAAACGTTTGGTGATATAGCTGGTGCGGAATGTTTTATGCAACAATGTTATAACTATAAAGTTTTAAGGATCTAGTGAATGCCCGATATGCTTCTGTACACAGCTTGACACTCAAAGTGCGAATAAACGATTGCTAGTTCTGTTTTTTATTGGTAATTTAGCAGTGCTCATAAGAAACAAGTGAGACCCAGAAGCCTCCTTCAGAGCAGACTGTCAAGTTCTAAAGTTTAGTGTGCACAATTTCGAGCAAAATTCAGAAACGCGCCAATGTCGGTCCTTGCGCTAACAGTATCGTCCAGTGTACTATGTATTTACTGCGAAAGTAATACTGCAAGAGGAAACAGGTGTTAACGCCCGGTTCGTTCTTATTTCATTTCTGTCATGAAATAAAAAAAGGAGTTTGATAGTGGTATTGAACAAATATAAAACATACAAGCAGCAACTAAAACAACACCGCTAGACTTATAATTACCTCAGCGTCCTTCCTCTTTAATTTGTCGGCAGTTAATCTAATATTCATTTTACATTTCTGCATATACCAAAATACACAATATATATATTCACTATGAGCTCCTTACATCAGCTCGCTTGCACCCTCAGTTTCTGGTACTTTATATATTGTGAGGGTGCTCAGGGAAAATACGCACTTGATCTTCAAAATGATCATCATCACTGTCGTCCACAATTATTTTAGAACCACTTTTATTATTAATTAAAACTCGCCCAGCCCCCTAGTGTAAAGCGAATTGCCTATATATCCTTTGTACGTCGAAAACTAGAATATGTTGCAGCCATTTGGTCTTCGTGGCAAAAGTATCTTGGAGACGACCTACAAAGTGTCCAAGAAAGAGGGTTACGGATTATTTATTCTGATTTTTGTTATTACACAAGCATGTCCGAATTGAATAAACGAGCGATCCTCCCTGAACTCACTTCAATTTGACAAATATTTCGTTTGGCACTGTTTTACAAGATTTTCTATCATTACCGTACAATTAAAAAAGAACTATTTCCTCCTCCCACTTCAGTTTTTACGAGATTAGATAACCGCTGTGAAATACAACCCATATATGCGTCCACCACTTCTTACGCTTACTCTTCTATACATTTCACATCAATTGAAAAGAACGCTTTATTCGACAACATAGTCATAACTAACAATACAGGCGTATTGAAAAACAAAATTAGGCAAATTTCTAGACTCCACAACAGATTAGTATTTTTGAATGAAAATATGTTAGAACTTTTTACCATTTCTGTTTTTATGTTTTATTGTAGGTTTTGTGTTTTGTTGTTCATGAGTGTTTATGTTTTTTTTAATTATCTTACATTATCTGCCCATCCTTTGTATAATGCCCTGTTCCAGGGCCTTCAAGCTACGAATAAATAAATAAATAAATAATTAAATAATTAAAACGTTCGTGTATGTTTTTGAATTACCCCGAGGACTGTCGCTCAAAAAATCCGCCCCTGGATCTGCCCATATACTCCTCGCAACGTGTGGTGATGCCTGATTCTGATATGCTCAACCTATGGCAATCGCTGCACCCTGGAGCTACGACAGGGAACACCTGCTACAATTACTTTCTTGACATCTCCGCAAATGCCGACAATATCGTCTAGCACCATGACTGACAACGTGTGACCAGTCCCACGTTGTGAGTATAAGACGGGCAGTACAAGGAAAGGATGTTTTGAGCGACTGCCCTCGGGGAAGTCCAAGAACAGACGCGAACGCTCGAGAGGCTAATAAGAAAAGTGGTTATAAAATGATTGAAAACGATGGTGATGATTATTATTATGATGATGATGTGGGTGTTGTCCATGAGCGTACTCGCAAAATTAGTGACTATCAGAACTTTCAAATAATCGGTACTGCGTGTACAATAAAGTTTAATTGGCCTTTCACACTGATATTTCATTCTAGAATAATCTCCAGGATACCCTCATACATCTATTCGACACAAGGTTAAAAATGCCTAGACAAAAAATACCTGTGGTTGTAGAAGCAAACGCAGCATCTTGTGTGTCAGTGTTAATTCTTAGCGCTTAGTTGCTATCAGTGATTTCTCTCAAATACCATTTCAGCACCCTCGGGATCCCCTTACGAAATCAGAATTACCGCCACCAGTTCGAAGACCGTCCACGTACGATGGAAGGTTCGTGGACGTTCGTTTCCTTCTACAAAAGGGTTACTCGAAATACTGTGTTACCAATTACTGAGTCGATTGCTTGATGCGCTTCTGAATTAATGAGGAGAAGCCATATTTACGCATCGCGTTTTTCTGCGTTTCAGTCTCCCTTGCAATCAACGTACCATGGCAAACTTAAAGGCTTTCACGTGGGATACAGGCAGCTCAACTCCAGAGAAACGTTTCAGTTCCAAACTGTGAACGTCGAGGACGACGAAGCAAAGAAAGAGCCCAAGGACAACGAATTTGAGATCCGGGGTTTACGAAGATTCACGCAGTATGCTGTCGTAGTCCAGGCCTTCAACAACAAAGGAGCCGGACCTTTGTCCGAAGAAGCCACGGTGCAAACGCTCGAGTTTGGTGAGTACAGCAAGCGAGGTTCAAATTGTGTACGGCGTTAATCGTCTTTTGAGCTCGTAATGGTTAGGGATGAAATCTCAATATGGCCAACAGGTGAACATATAGTGCATTATTGTTCTTGTGGCATAAAGTTTAATTTTTTAAACTTTTAGGTTATATGTTTATTATCTTAATTTATGGCACTTTTGTAAGACAGTACCCAAATTAAAAGTAATAAAAAATTAGCCGGGGAAACACGAAAACCTAAAATAGCGATATACCCTTTAAACAAAGATATAAGCTGAGCTATTTCTGCTACATTAATAATATGCAACATATTGTATATTTCCCACCAAAATTTTTATGTCTTAAATATTACGATCAACCTTGAGTTTCTACACGCAAGGTAATCTCAGCATTGACATCGCTTAAACTGTGCGTGTTGCAAAGGAGGACATGATATTAGAAGAAATAGATGATGATTCTAGCAAAGCACAAGCACTTTCCAATCACGAAAAAATGGTTAAACTTTTTTGGGAAGAATAAGGGTAAAGATTCTATAAATAATGATGTGGACCAAATGTGTCTTTTCAAGACTTTCGTCCGCTTTTCAATAATTTGAAAACGTGCATAAATAAAATAGATATTTATGTGATCAACTTTGATTCTTTTGACTGCCGTCAAAAAAGTTATTAAATGCCAACAAAATGTTTCTTTGATCAGTTAATCGCCTTAAAAGTGGTTTGATGTGCGAATACAAACAGAGAAATGATTTTTCAGCAGCCCCTACAGATTCAGTGTTGGCTTCCCCACTTTAACATACTCTCCAGGTGGTGCACGCTTTACCGGGGCGAGTATTGCCCTCGACCAGACCTGGGTGGTTCAGACTTCCGGTGTCGGGGACAAATTCGCCCTTAGCGCATACACAAGTGTCTCTCTCCTAACCTCCTCCCCCCCTCCCTTCCCTTTCCTCCAACTCTAACAACAACACCCTCCGGTGTCAACGCTGCAACTTCTGTAATATGTAAGCGGGGAAATAGAGAGGGATCAATAAAACAATGTGAAGTAACAAGTTCGATAAAAAGATAAAAGGCTGGCGCTGCAGCCAGAAAACCAATTCATGTTTCACACACACGCAAAAGAAGTGCTTGAAAATTGTTTGTTTTATAATCTCTTGTTTTAGTCTACAAAATGCATGTCCAACGTGAGAATAAACAGCGCGAAAATTAGGTAAAAAGTATTAAAAAAAAGAAATCTCACTAAGCACAGCTGTGTCGTTTAATCGTAATTTTACACTGCGCTACATCGACGAAATATCGCTAGTTTAAACATATTAACGTTTGAGATATATTTTTGTTGTGTACAGGGTGGGACATCATTACAAAGGCGAAACGGTACCTCGCTTTTTTCGTTTTTTTTTTCTAATCGCCATTAAGAAACAGGCGTTAAATAAATCATACATTGTTTCAGATGACTTCGGTGGTAAAATGCGCTCTTTGAAACTGGACTACTTTAGTGGGTTTTGAAATGGCTGAAAGGCGCGAACTGCAGGTTCACTTTAACTTGGTGCTCAAGTGACACGCATCAGTGCCTAAATGTTTACCTCTATGGACCTGCAGACGACTTTCCAAAATTGATCACGTATTTTATGAAGATAATTCTGCTCTAGATTTTGCTAGTAGTCGTGGAGTCGCTAAAGTATTCATTTTATTAAAGAATTAAGAAGAGCGCGAACGAGACGAAGGACCAGATGAGACGTAGGCAGACAGAGCACTGACTGTTAACTGAATTGTATTGAAAATTATTTATTATAAGTTGTCGATTTTCACGAAAATGAACGATAAAGCCCATGTGTGTGTTGTCGAAATGCTTAACTTCAAATGATTATATTTTTATTTTATGTAAGAAATGGTCCTCTTCCTGGCCTTAACATGGCAGAGAACAAGGAAAGAAAAGTAAAATGGGTAATACTGAAGCGCTGATATTTGCTTTGGTTTGGATGGCTATGGTTATACACTTCGTTATTCCTGCTACCTGGCCAGAGAGAGTTTAGTTAGAAAATGCAGTGACTAAACCAACAGAACTTGTAGAAATATTTATTAAAAAATGGCGGATTTCTGTCACATCTTCTTCACGCCACAAAATAATAATAAAAAAAAAAACACACGAGGTGCGACAAGCGGTGTCTATTTAGGTGCTATCTCGACTGCCGCGCGCAGTTAATAATCTAGAGTACCGTCTTGTTCTCACTTTCTTCTTGCCTGCAAATTTCGCAGATCCACCGTCGGCACCGCAACTAATGATTACGTCCAAATCGTCTTCGACGCTGGAGCTTGAATGGAAATTTCCGGAAGTCACGGAGACACCAATCACAGGTTTGTAGAAAGTTCTTTCCTCACTGAGACGACAATTTGTTCTTCAAACTCCTTTTCTGGAGATTGTGTTGTTAAAACGTTCGCGCCCCTTTCGTCTCAAGTAAAAATAAAGAAACGCAGAATGATTTTTGCCTACCTTTTTTCTTAAAATAGCAACCTTTCCGACAATAATTATTTTTTAAATTTTTTCGCGTCTTTATTTATGCTGTATCTCAAGAAAGATTTTTTTAATACTTGCAATCAAAATTACTTGGTACCCAATTACATGAAACATTCGATAACATGACAGCGAACAGAATCCTCACAATAAACTCGCATTAGACTCAAATTATCTTTTTAGTTCATTTTCATTTATACTGTATGTTAAAACAGGTAAGTTTTTATGCTGGAAACGCTGGTTATTTAGCACCTATTTGCATCAAACATTCGGTAACGTGACAACAAACGGAATTCTCACGATAAACTCGCACTGGACTCGAATTCGTTTATGAACTCAAAGTTCTATACGCGCTCAAAATTACCTGGAGGTAAAAAAATTAAGCAGAAAGCTCGTTGACGTAAACTGACACCCTCCCACTTTTCCTTTTTTTTTTCGCTATACCCTGTGGCGCGGAAACAGCTATACAAATTGACAATTTTTTTATATTTTAGGATACGTCGTGCACTACAAGAGCGAATATGGAGAATGGCAAGAAACGCAAGTGAACTCAAAGCTGCATAAGCACCTCCTGACGAACCTTATATGCGGAAACCGCTACCAAGTAACAATCACTGCCTTCAACGCTGCTGGGAGGGGAGTACCCAGTGAACTAGTGAATGCCGAAACAACAGGCAGGGGTAAGCAAAACTATTGAGTGTGCTTTGGCATACAAGGTTTTAGCGCTATCTTAGCTGCAATTTAACATCATTTTTTTGTGTGTTGTGCGTATGGTTAAACTACGCTATTATTTACCAGATTACTTGGAAGATCGTTTTAACCTTTGGAGACAGCAATGGCCCTGCTGGTAGTGATAATAAAAAAAATAGACGCATATACACGTTTTAAATTATTGATCGGGGACAGAGTCACTACAAAAATAACCACTCGCTGAAGCAGGCTTTATGTGTGAAAACGTTTTCTATGTTTTTCCATAAATAAAACTTCAGTTGCGAGTGCGCCTTGTGTCGTCGTCTTCTTACCTTGTCCTAGTCTTACGGCGCTTGTCTTTTCCCATTATGAACCAACTGGCCCAACTCACCATTTTGTTTTCTCCTTCCCTTTCTCGTTCTTTGCTTTGTATAAAAGCGACGGCTTCAATGTGACATGTCGCTATTATAACACATAGTATGCGGGTGTGAACGTTTGTTTTGTCAGTAACACACACTTCCAAAGCTTTCTTTTTTGCATTTTAACATAATTTAACTCTTATTTTTGTGGCTTTGTTTACGTATCTCGCTTGACACTAGTTTTGGCAGACACAAAGGTACTGCCAAAATTTGGCAAACTAAAATTAGGAAAAAAAACTCGATTATATTTTGTTGATAAAGCGGTGCCGTTTGAGAAAGTTTCCCAACACAAAAATAATATGGCCATTGCACTCACCATAGTTGACATTTCCGTAGTTGACATTTGAAATTCAAGCGGTTTTAAAGCCAGCTTGGTGTTGAAAATAATCCCTGGAGAAGGGGAACAAGAGGGACATGGGACAAACATAAATCTCCAAACACAGCTAGGTGACTGGTGTGTACGAATTTTGTTTTTGTGATTGATAAAAATTTATCTGCATGTCATTTTTTTTAAATATATCGTTGCTAATCCTATTTCTATTTTTTTTTAACGCTAGATATTGAACTGCATGTAAAGTTTATTTTTCGCTTGTGCTGTACAAATTTCAATGTGAGCGCCTGGGGCTTTGTCAAGCTGTCGCTGTGACCGCTTCTTCCACTCGCCTGTAGTATCATGTGCTTAGTAGCTGATGCAAATAAACAAATGGAATCAAAATAAATTTTTTTGTAAATCTTTTGGCAGGACCCATCCCACCCCAGGACAAGTCCTGGTCGGTTCTGATGGCCAATTCGAGCTCCATCTCCGTGAATCTGGACGGCTGGAGCGACGGCGGCTGCCCCATCACCTTCTTCGTTGTTCAGTACAAGCCGCACATGCAGCCGGACTGGGTCCTTCTGTCCAACAACATCCGTATGGCCCAGTCCCCCGTGACCATCCCGGACCTGGCGCCGGGCACGTGGTACGACGTTATGGTGTCCGCCTACAACGACGCTGGGGCCACTGAAGTAGAGTACCGGCTGGCCACGCTCACGCTCAGCGGAGGTGAGATGTTTTGTCTCTCTCTTGCGTCGTCTCCCTCGGCGAATCCATGTGCTCACATCCATTAACGCCACACCACAACTATATCTCTTTCTGCCTTGTTACGGGATCTTTTAATAACATTTGTTAGTACTAAAACGGGTTCACATCCACAACGCATGCAGTGAACCACAGGGTTCCTCCCCCCCCCCCCTTACTCCCTTCTAGACTTATTACGGACCGGAAGTCGACGCTCACGCGCCCCTTCATTGAAACATCGCCTCGTCTGTCCTATGTAAACGCGCCCGCATGTTAGCGGTATCTGATAAGCAACATTAAATGTGCAGAATGGAAATTGTGTGACATACTTCTTTGAGCCCTCGACAAACTTCTCCCCTGTCATCATGGAGCAGAAATTCAACATATTTGACGGCGCAAAAATAAAAACACATTAACTTCGTATTTTACAGCTATCTTGTTTAGATTGTGTTACAGCCTATGCAAATCACAAATCACTTGAGTCATTTATTTTTTTAACTTTGTTTTGTTGACCATCTATTTTGCTGGCGTTTCTCTTGATGCTTTGAAGGATGCTTTTACACACGCAATGGAAATCAAGCAGGAAGGGTAAACGGCTTCTTTTAAGCGCTATACCTGATGATTAAAACTGGCAGCTACTTCGTGATGGCAACTTTTTCACACCGCAGTCCGAAGGCTGGAAGAAGTTATGCCTCTTTTCAACTTTGAATGAGCACTGTCAAAAGGCGAAATGCTTTAGTCGAACATGGTTTGTACCATTAACACGTGATCCTCGAAAAATGCAAGATGGAAATTCAAAAACTGGATGCACTTCCCACACGAAAGACCCTAGGTGAGCTTTAAGCCGCCAGACAAAACAATTAAAAAATCGACAATCTTCGTAACTAAGTCGCCAAAGCTAATCTCCGGGGGATCATCCATAAGAACAACAAAATTGTCTACATACGTAAAACGTCTGAAAACGTTCATGTATATCATGCATTCTGAGATGCGTCGATTTATGAATGCAACGTTCCTCTCAAAATTCTTAATTTTAGTTGGTGATTTGGAACACATGAGATCAATTAAGTCAATACAGGAATCGGCTGGAGTCATTAAATATGAGGTATTGGCTTTTGTTACGTAGGAGAAACTCCCGAGGGATATATATACAAATATGACGAGCTACACCAATCTATAATAGATATTTCGAGTAGTATGCACAAGTTTCAGCGAGAAATCAAGCCATAGAGTGTGCATGATTTTGAATTTTTATCATGTGCTTAGTAGCTTAGTAGGTGAAGCAAACACTAAGAGAGGTTGAGTAAATGTGGCAATGCCAAAAACAAAATGACGGTAGGAACCAGTAAACACAAGCTTAAAAAGAGTATTTGGTGTGTCCTTCTTTCCGCCACTTTTCCTAAAAAATCGTTTCACTTGCTTCTCCAGCAAGCTTGCACCTCTTGGTTTCTCACAGATATTAATAAATGCATGTGTTATCATATATTTGTTTGTCTTCTAGATGAGAACCTAGATATATAACCCACCTTCCCTGATTGAAGTTCAGAATTATATTTTTTGCTTAAACATATTTAAGTGCTGTTACCAACACGCTCGTTTTACACTTAGTATTTTTCGCGTGACTTGTATATGAGCACAGATTCCCAAAGTGTAAAGAACGGCGGTTCAAGATATTTCCCGACTATACAAACTAGTACTCTCCTCTACTGGAAATTTATAACGTCATGATGCATTAAGTTGTTTGTGCCTCGTCCGTTTTTTTAGTCATCGACTTTTGTAGATGATTCTTCAATTCGTCAATACGTGATTTCACTAGAACTTTCGGCAGTTCTTCTATCTTAGCAGCAATACAACCATCTCGATAAGTTAAAAAGGAAAGAAAAGCAATCAGTGTAAAAAGAAAACACCAAAATTTGATGTTTTTTTTTCCAGCCACTGTGGCGCCATTAGCCGCTCAGTCCCAGGAGTCGGGATCGTCGTTCCTAAGAGATCCGGCAATCCTGGTTCCGGTGGCATGCGCCGTGGTGGTGGTTCTCGTCATCTGCCTCGTGGTGGGCGTGGTACTCGTGCTGAGGAGGAGAGAAAACACCTACGACTCGTGCCACACGCAGCACATATGTGAGTGAGAATCATGACTCTCTTTGGGCATTCGCTCGGGTTCATCTGAGGCTGTTGAAGTAATGTGTGAAGAGATTGAGATGTAAATACAGGAAAACTTCTTGCTTTTCTCGCTAGCGTTCTATTATGTGTAATTAAGTTTTAATGTTCAGATGGCCTTGTGTAGGAAAGTAAACAGAGTGTAACCTTTTATAGAGCTGAAGGAAATGTATCATCGGTAATGTTCTATGTGAAAAAATTAAAAACAAATCTATTGGTGACTGAACATACAAGATTATAAAATTGAACTTTATGATCGTTCGGTCTTCTTTGGTCGTGCAGGAGTACATACATCTATATGTTCTAAGACGAAACTCAACTTTTGTGCTCATATTTTTATTAGAGGAAGCTGGTAAATCCTCTCGGACTTAAAACACAATGGAAAAGCAACAACAAGCTCTTTCACTTCACATAAACATTGCTAACAAGAGATATTCTAGAGTCTTGCTTAAGTTATCCTTACCAGCAACCGCTGAAGAACGCGCCCCTTTTTTCATAATCTGGCGAGTGTTGGCCGCACGTTCTTAAGTTAAACTGAGAATATGTTAATAGTGCAGCCTCTCGTGAATTTTTAAAAAGCCTGAGGGGGTTATATAAATACTAATATTGGTTTAAAAAACAAGAGACGTGTCTCAATAATAATGGCATCCTGCGATTTATGAGGATACAATTTCCTACCCTAGGTCAAGCGATAAATGTATTTAATTTATATGCTTTAGGTAATGGTTCACGTTTGGGAAGTTATATTCTACAGAAAATTCGAGAGGATTTTTTTTAAATATTTAGTAACCAATATACATTTCCCTAATATTTTAAAATTTATATTTATTAATATGTATTAAAGATTTTAGAAGAGCTTTTTTAAAACTTGTCGAAAAAAGGTGCTTTGAACAACATATAGTTTTCGGCTTGAGTTCTTGGCCTGTAAGTGTGACCACCTGGACATCTTCTGCCATATTTTCAGATTCAAGCGAGTCCGTGCGCAAGACAGACAGCATCTCCATGTCCGCGTATGGCAAGGACAAGCACTTTTGCGATTCGTCAGGCGACGAGGGCGCCACCCAGAGGGAGCCACTCTACTACCCGTCGCCGTACGCCACGACTCAAGTGTCGGCTGGAGAGATGTCGTCGGGGTCGCCCAGCAGGCACCTCCAGGCCAACATGGCCGCCGACTACGCCCAGTCGGCGGCGGGGACGTTACAGCGGAATCGCTACGGGAACCGAATGCATCTGTACGACGTGCCGCTTAGGCCCAAGCAGGTACCCGAGCTTCTCTGTTCGAGGACGTAGCAGAACTACGCCTAGGGCAATAGCTCTTCAAAAGCAAAGATTCCTACCTAAGCACTAAGGGCGTACGTGATGCGAGCGCACAAACTGCTAGATTTGTTTTTTGTACAGCAGAGTCGCCAATATATTGTTGGAGAATGTGTTTAAATGGCTAAGTGACAAAGAAAGAACTGCCTCAAATGCAACAAGCGATGTTTATGATTGTGAGCTCAGGTACTTGAACCAACAAAAAAAAAAAGATGCTTTATTTGTTCTAACAAAAATGTTTCAGTGCATATTTATTTATTCATTATTTATTGCATATGAACTTCGTCTGTAACCAATTCCTACCTGCGTAATTTTTTTTTACTTTTTGTTGTTTAAATCATATCGAACTCTTTTACAATCCAATCCGACTTGCTCAATATGTTTGGGAATTTTCTTGAATTGAGCAATAGGTTAAATCGCTTAAAAAAGCAAGCTTTTAGCCCCAAAGCGTCTCGTTTTTGTGACCTCAAAAATTGCGCAGTTAAACTGTTTCAAGTATTATCGTTAAAGGTTGGCGAATTTTCATGGGCTTCGAATAAGCTTTTCATTGTGATTCTTATTGCACGTGTTTCATTCAGTTCCTTCTCGCATGAAGTTCAATCTCTGTCTTAATTTGTTCGTTGAAGTTTTGTAAGTGCGTACTTGGTACATGAACAAGTATTGTGTAATCACTATATTTATAAGAAAAGCGTGAAACCTTACGGTGTGGTATATAAAGTATATCACGATGGAGTTGGTGTGATTGTAGTGCTCAAGATTTTATTTCATGAAGATATAAATGGTGCTACGGGGTGAACTCACTGGGACGTTTGTTAAACAAAGTATAGCACAAAACTTCAAAGTTTCTGGTGCGTAAGTTCAAAGGTTGACTGAGTTAGGCAGAAATATATCTTGCCCCTGCACACCCAGTGTCGCAAATGGTGCATTTAGAGATTATTGTGGAAGTGTAACAATCTGGATACTTCTAATTTCGAACATCTGTGAGTGCTCATTTTGGTAGATCGCTTGTCACACAAAATGATCCTTAGAGTCGGGTACACCCTAAAGTCAAGAAAAAAACCTAAAGAACGTAAATTATGCAGCGTCAAGTATAAGTCTGAATGATTTTTCGATTTTCGAACCTTTCCTAGCCTCGGCTTAAACATACAAATGTCAAGCAACTTCTTTTCTCCAACTTCTAGCTCATAGTGTAAACATGTTGGAAATATTTTAACAACGTGGTGCTACGTTAAAGCGATTGTTTTAAAGATCTCGTTTACTTAACATTGACATAAGAGTATAATTTGATGAGGAATAATAACGGAACCTATTAGAAGAATATTTTATTGTTTCATTTAAACCTTTATTTCACTTATCGTAACCTCAAGGATCTTTCTTTTAAGGAGAAGAAATATAAAGCAATATATTACTCATGCTCGTTTTATATGGAAAAATATGAAAGCAGGAGTATTTCATTGTGCGCAATTTTACTCTCCAGTATACAAAGCGCTGCTAAAGCGCGGAAGTTAAGTTACCTTGTAAATCGTAATATAATTTCTAAAACAATTACAAAAGTATGACTGCATCACATCATTGTCGCAAAAACGTACTACACAAAACCAAAATAGCTAGCATTTTGGCTAAAATGCGATGGGCTTCAACATGCTTCATTTTACAGTTTGAAAGTTTCTAGTATGATGTCCCTGAGTTACACATTTAGAGGTGACGAATTTAGCGGTTGTGACTACGAGTTCGACATTATTGGACGTGGTGATTAATCTGGACACCGTATCGTGTAAGAGTAATAATATTAAACGATACAAAAAAGGGGGACATAGATATTCGCACACTCACCGGCATCTACTATACGCTTTTTCCAGTGTCGTTATTGGCGGAGACGAATTGTACATTCCTCCTTACAACCCTCGGCAGGAACGCACTGTCGACCTTTTCGTTTTCTGCCTCTTTTTCTCTCTTTATGTATTTACACTTTTCAACCCATCGCAGGGTTCACCATAATGTTCAATATGCATCATCTCACCTGTACGTTAAGTATTTTTTTTAACTTTTGCTCCCACTCTTAAAAAGGTGTTTACTAGAATAAGTTAATAATTTAAATGCACACCAATACATGCAAAAAACGTTTTGCCAGTTATATAGCCATAAAATGTAAATTGTAATATTTATAAGAGGATTTAAATATAAGACAAAATTACGTAAAAACACAGGTCCAAAACACAGTAGATACATATGGTTAAAGTCAGCGGGCAACGTGAGGAAACTGTGGAATTGTTCAGGAAACAGGATAGATAAGAATACAAGAGACAGGATAAACATAGATTCAGCTGAACAGGGGAATGTGTATTCGAGCAGATATTTAAAAGCAAATCTTTTTAATACCGTAATATGTTATTATGGGACATACCGACATAAAAATAATCATGACAGATACTTTCCACGAATTAATTGCATTGCTGTGGGCCACATACCTCTTACACAAATACATCAAAGACGTGCCTTAATTTTAAAGTTTGTTGGTTCTTAGTAAACATACAACAGTTTATACTGACGTGGACTGCTTGTGCTATAATAGGTCCACGCCTGGGTTACAGATGGGATGACTCATAAGTATACTGTGAGCGAATTTTTTGTAGTCTATTCCGCTTTAACGTACTGGACGAATGCCAAAGAGTGAATGTGAGTTTCTTAAATTTCACTATCTTGTTTGTACGTAAGTTTCTGCTGTACATGCAGTTGTGTGTTTGTAAATGGGTATGCATGTGTCAGACTATTTTATAAATGTGTAACTGTAGCAGTAAATTAAGAAATGTTTTAATATAATAAAATATGCTTGTACAACGTGTTCATATTTCCGTGATTTACTTGTTTTACCCTCCATACTTGTTGGAATGACCTTAGTCTCAAAACGTCCTTGTGAGGGAAGCTTCTACCCGCAGCTTTTATCTAGCAAGTCTTCTGCTGCTATTCTAACGTTTCTTTACGTTTGTGAATTTCGCGATGAATGATACACATTATAATATTTTAAATAAGAATGCTTACCCAACATAATTCGGAACAGTGGAAGCACATAAAAGTTCGTATTTTACAAAAATGTATCATATCAAGCAATCTTAAAAGTTCTTACCCCATGAGTAAAAACCATAGATCTAATTTAGTCTGCTTTTTCTCGCATTTGCTTACATTTTTAGGAAGCAATTCGCAACGCCTTGCAGTAAACTCGAGGTTTACATCTCGCAATACCCATGACTGTGTTAAAATTATTCCCAAGTTTATTTTAATTTATATTTTAATAAATGTCGAAATAAAAAAATAAAAAAGCTCCGTAAGTGTAAAAAAATAAATAAATAAACATCCAGAAACCTAGGAACAAAGATAGCCATTTGTGTTTATTTCCTTTTTTTCCGACTCTTATTACTGATATTGTGCGTAGTTAAAAGCGCCCAGGGAGTTTATACTTCAAATTAAAAATATATGTACATCTGAATGCCTAAATTGTCGCTTTTCCTAACGTTCAGCTGGTAATCAGTAAGCCTAAATATTGTAGGCACCGTCATGACGCGCACCCGACGAAGATATGGGTTTAAGTTTAATACTGCATCATAATTTAATCGTATCAAGTGGCTTTCGTTCATGAAAGGTACAGCAGACGTCCTAGTTCAAAGAAAAAACCGAAGGGCAGCCGTGGTGGCACTAGGCCTGGGTCACCCAAGTAAGCTGTGTCGTCTCCTTTGTCTCGGCAGAATGAAGACTACACAGCTTACGCGAGACTTTGGATGCAACCGATTCCGACGGGTGCTTTCAATTTAGATCAAGGTACTGTTCACACTTTGATCACCCTAAGTAGTCACCGAACTAGAGAGTTCTCGTTTTCACCCCGAGCACGCTTGACGTCCTAGATCACCCTGTCCTAGTGCCACACCTGCACTCACGCCGACACCGTTACAAACGCGATTTCATCAGAGGGATTGTAGCTTGTTATTGTCTGGATCTGGTAACACTCACCATTGTTTACAACAAGGCCTGTGAGGTAAATATAACTAACTGCTCAGGAACATTTCAATACTGCAAAATATAAGCTCTTCGATTGTCCATCGTATCACTTCAATTTCGATCAAAACTCAAGTTACGATTTGATGAGGTTAAGTGGGTGTCAGAAATCAGCCACGGCACTGATTAGTTTTGACGTGCATGTGCGCATGCGTGTTAAAAATGTCTCGTGCTTTGAGCTTTTTGTCGCAATCGTGATTTGGCAAATGCCATTGTTTGTTCAGTTGCATAATTACTTGTCTTGACCATATTGCACTGACGCGTGCGGAGAATATCCTTATGAAGGTGTAGACGAGCACATGTTTATTGTTCGCGATTTATGCATGTTCACTGAATCTGAAAAAAATTTAAATGGCATACTTTATAAAAACAATATCTTTCATGTTTGCGCCGTAGTTATGCATGTTCATTGATTGCACAAATTTATACTTTGATTCATTTCTTTTTCTTCTTTTTGCATGTCGCAACTGCATCTTGGTGTCACATGACATGAGGATTAGAACCTCCGCTCGCCTTTCTTTGCTGTTTTTTGCACGTATTTGTACAGCGAGTCATTTAGAAAAGGCAGAGTGAACAAAAGTGTGTCCGCATTTTGTTCCCAAAGGCTGCGAGAGGGAATTTTACTCAGGTAAGAGTTCTCGACAACGTTGTATTTTCTGAGGTATTTTAAAATTTTCTTAAAACTATGGGTTATTAAACAGTATATTTCTAAGTGCGTATTTTCTGTCAATGCGTTTAATCCTTTGATTAAAATTGTCCTGTCTTGTTGTTGTTTCTTGTCAGGCCTTGTAGATTTTTTGGAGACGGAGTCAAAGTACGATGACAATCCCGAAGTGCCTCATTATAGGTGAGTTTTCAACTTTTTTCAAATATATTTTCCACATTTTTCCCAAAATATTGTCATCAAGAGAGTTTATGTAACCCCCATC